AGATTTTTTCCCACATTGTGGGTTGTCTCTTCACACTGCTGGTGGTTTCTCTTGCTGTGCAGAAGCCTTTTAATAAGAAGAGATCCCACTTGTTTTTTTCTTGAAGCCAGGTCTCACTGTGTAGTCCAGGCAGCCTTGGAATAGCTATGTAGCTCAGGCTGGCCTTGAACACAAAATCCTCCTGCCACAACCTCCCAAGTGCTAGGATTACAGGTGTAACACCTGGAAGAAGTTTTTAATTTTGATGAAGTCCAATGTATCTAGATTTCTTTTGTCATTTGTACTTTTTTGTCATATTTAAGTAACAATTTTTAAATTCACACTCACAAAGATTTAGGTTTATTTTTTTCCTAAAAGTTTTATACACTTTTTTCATGGGACAGGGTCTTGCAATGTAGTGCAGGCTGGCTTCCTCCCCTAGCCTCTAGAGTATCAGGATTATAAGTATATACTACCACACCAGGATATAAACTCTTACACTTACATCTTTGGTCCACTTTGAATTAATTTTTGTATATGGCATGAAGCAGGGATCTGAATTCATTCTTTTATATAGTGCCTGTTCTAGCACCATTTGTTTTTTATTTTGTTTTGTTTTTTTTGTATAAAGGATGGAACTCAGGTCCTTGTGCTTGGGAGGCAGGTGGCAGCACCACTGAGCTAAGTTCCCGGCCTTTCTAGCACCATTTGTTGAAGAGATTATTTTTTGACTATTGAATGGTCTTAGCACATTTTTCAAAAATCAATTTGCCATAAATTATAGGTTTATTTTTGGAATCTCAATTCTACTCCATTGAGTTATATGTCTTTCCTATGACAGTACCACAGTGATTTCATGACTTCAGCTTCAGAGTAAGTTTTAAAAGTGGAACTTATGAACCTTCCAGCTTTGTTATTATTTTCCAAAATCATTTTGGCTATTTGGGTCTCTTCTGTTTCCCTATGAACTTTAGGATCAACTTGTCAATTTCCAAGAAGGAAAACTCAGGGATTGCCTTGAATTTGTAGATAAACTTGGTGAGTATTGCCCTGTAACAATATTAATCTAATCATCCATGAACATGAATGTCTTTTTATTTTTGGCTGATTTCAAAAGTATGTAGTTGTTCATCTCACCACAGAAAGAATGGTTATCATCAAGAAGTCAACCAATAACGAATGCTGGTGAGGCTGTGGGGGAAAAAGGAACCCTTCTCCATTTTTGGTGGGAGTGTCAACTGATACCACCACTATGTAAATCAGTATGAAGATTCCTCAAAAAACTAAATATGGAAATTCCATTTGATCCCGCTATTCCCCTTCTAGATAACTTTCCAAAAGAGCTGAAGACATCATACCACAGTGATGTATGAATACCCGTGTTTATAGCACCACAATTTGTAATAGCTAAATCTTGGAAGGTGCCTGTATGTCCATCAACAGATGAGTGGATAAAGAAAATGTGCTGTTTATACACAATGGAGTATTACATTGCCATAAAGAAGGATACATTTGAGTCACTTGTAGGAAAATGGATGCACCTTGAGACCATAATGTTAAGTGAAATAACTCAGACACACTAGATTATCACATGGTTTCTTTTATATGAAAAACTCAATCTGTATCTATATCTTTATCTCTCTTCCCTCTCTCTATGTAAATAGAGATATGAATATAGATAACAGGGAAAAAACAGAAAAAGAAAAGGTATTGTAATCCAGCATGAACAATGTATCTAAAACTGTACCTTGACTTAGTACAATTGTCTTATATGTTTTACATGATATTTGGCTTATTAGTCTAGTTTTCAATCTGTGTATATGGAAATTAACTCTATAAGGTCTTTTTAAAATTTATTTTTTATTTATTTTTTTCTATAAGGTCTTATAAGATAAATAAATGAATCCAATGCTGGAAAAATAAAAGGGGAGTGGAGAGAAGGAGGAAAAAAGAATTGGAATGTGTTATGTACATGTACCAATTCCCTACAGTGACTGTAATCATTATGTACTGCAGACATGTACTAATAAAAGTCCAAAAATATTTAGTTTTCAATATATAAGCTTTGCATTTCTTTTGTTGACTTTTCCTAAGTATTTTATTCTTTTACGCTAGTTTACATGAAATTGTTTTAATATCATTTTTAAAGTTTGCATTGCTATAGAGAAACAACTTTTTGTGTACTGATATTGTATCATGTAGCCTTGGTGAACTTGTTCATTAGCTCTAATAGTTTTTACTATATTCCTCAGGATTTTCTATATAGCAGCTCATGTCATCAGCTAGAAGACTCAAAAGGAGGGAAAAGATGTCATTTTCACTGAACATGTTTGTTCTTGATGGAAGTAAAAATATTTTTCTAATTCAAGTTAACTGTTTTATGAAGATTGTCATTTCTCTCTAGAAAAAACTGTTTTATGAAAGCTAGACATTTGATGCAGAGTTGAATTATAGATTTTATTTGATAAAGTCAAAGCAGAATAAATGAAGATGATCTCTCTTCTTGCTTCTCTCTGTGTGTGCGCACATGTGTGTGTTTTCGCACTTTCTTCATCCAAGTGAAAGGTGTTGACACAATGGAAAAGAGTGTTCTTTGGAGAACTTAATATTAAACTTAATATTAAAACTTTGAAGATTTTATTCTAAAAGTTCAGATATAACCATAAGTAGGTGTAGGATTTAATAGGACTTTATATCTATTTGTTCTTTCTTGGCAGTGTCTCCTCAGTTTTCCCTGGAGGAATAACCTCCCTGACAGCAATATATATGAAGATAAAGCTGACTCAGTAACTGGACTTAGTTCAGGAGATGGTTCTAGCACTGTACCAGGCTCCAAGGGGTCTGCCCACAGAAACTACACTTGATGGCTGTGCTAGGTATCTTCCATTTGCCCCACCAGGCACCTCTCATCCTTTTCCAGCTTGCTTTCTTCCTTGAGAAGCTGACCTGTATGAACCACATAAATAGTCTTCCTTGCTGTCTAGCTTTTGACTGGGTTTGGCCAAGAGAATTACCAGTATATCAGAAGGAAAAAGGAAAATTAGGTTCCAGTATTTATTTTTCTGTTCCTTTTCCCACAAGATCACCTTGGGCTAGCTTAGTCCTTCAACTAAGTTATCACTGAAGGTAGCCAGTTATACGTGACTCACTTCTGCATTGTGGTAACTAGTCCCTACTCCTGTACTTTAGGGTCTAGTGATGATAAGAGTTCAGCTCTTATTAGATTACTGAGCTATTTGTTGTTCCCGAAATTTATGCTTTTATAAATAATCCCTTTGCAAATGAACCCCCTTCTAATTATTGTCAAGTGTGCTATTTCTTGTTGGGACAAAAGTTGGTGTTATGGCCATCCAGAAGCTTGCAAGGGGTACATTATGGAGTGTAAACTGCCAGATTTAGAACTTACCATATCTTTCTTAAACATTTTTAAACCCCCATCAACCTTTTTTCCTTCTAGCCTGCAACTAAAGAACTTGGTGAAGTAGTCTTTTGAGTTCTTTTTCCTTCTCTTTTCCATCCAGCCTATACACCTCCAACACACACACACACATTTCTACTCTCTGCCTAGATAACAGCACAGTGAAAGCTGGATGTGGTAGTGGTGCACACCTGTAATCCAGCCTCTGGGAGGCTTAGGCAGAGGACCATAAGCTCAAACCTAACCTGAGCAAATTAGTGAGATCCTGTCTTAAAATAAAAAATAAAAAAGGGATAAGGAGGTAGCTCAGTCCAAATACCTTGGCTTTATTCCCCAGTACTGCAGAGAAAACACTTCTGAATGATTTGATTAAATTACTTTATTATGTGTGAATATTTTAAGGGGAAGTAAAGAAATTACTCTAATGAAGAACCCAGATGAAGGAAATATATTTGGGATCACAAGACACCCCTCCCCCCAATCAAATCGTATCAATCTAGTAGATCTTAGGCCAGGGCAGCCTCCAAGGAAAGAAGGCATTACTGCTGCAGTCTAGCCTACCAGTAGAATAAGGAACTGGGAATACTTGTCTTTAATTGCAACTGTTACTAGAGAGAGATTTGCTTTGAGAGACAGTTTGTAGGCAGATATGCCCTGAAGTCATGTAGCCAAGCTTTTATCAAGTACTTGCAGAGTTTCTCTCTGGATCTTTGTTCTATGCCCCCTGTAGGAGATGGCAATATTGATTATGCCCAAAGCAGGCTGTAAAGAGTTCAGGCTGTAAAGAGTTAACCCCACAATTGGCTTGTTTATAGAAGTAAGTCCAGCTGAAGCCTATGTGCAGCGGTCAGAGTAACTCTCATCCAAATTCTGTTCCCACAATTGAAACCTCCTTACTAGAAGGACAATGTTCTAATTACAACCATATATTTTTGTCTATTCTGTTCCTAATTCAAAAAATGCTTTCTTATATTTTATGACCCTTGCTTACATTTCCATAAAAACCACATGACTGTACATCCTCGCACGTAGTTCTGCCCTTGCATGTAGCTCACCTTTACCCGAAGTGATTACCAATAAAAATCAATGGCTTGGATTGGCTAGTGCCTTTGTCAGTTGCACTGGCATTGGTTGTCCTGGCGCCCCACTTTCTGTCTCTCTTAGTTCTGTCTTTTAGTTTTTTATTCTCAGGCCTGCATCATACACTGGACAGGAGACTGGAGTCTACTGCAGAAGTTTCCGGTAAGGTTTCAGGGGTTCCCAGTCCCCGCCCCCTCAAAGTTTCTCTTAGTGTTACTCTACAGTACAAACAAACAGAACAATTTATATCAGAAACTAACTTTGATGAGAAAAGGAAAGATATTCTAACTGAGGGACTGGAGCATGGAGATTGCAAAAGGAAAACAAAATGCTCAGAAACAAAACTACTTCCAGTTTCACCTTCCTATGTGTGAAACTCCAAGTGTAAAGAAAAAATCCAAATAACAACAACAACAACAACAACAACAACAACAAAAACCAACAAAAAAAAAGTTGTGATGGGAGAAAAACAGTCTTCAACTAATAGGCTGTCAATTGTCAAGTGTTCCATCCATGTGGCTGCCCAATATTCCTGTGGAAAAATCAGTGATACGCCCTAGAAAGAAATCACACATTTCTTTTTTATTTCAATTTATTGTTGTCGACAACTCCCCAAGACAACATAAATGTTAGTTATAAATAGATGCTAAGGAATATTACCTTAGGATAATGATTTCAGAGGAGTGGATTGGAAAATCTAGCATGGACAATACCATGAAATCATTTGGAAGTAGTATTTCTCATTGACAATCAAGTAAAATCAAATGTATTGCAACAGATGGTATATAAATCAAATCCTGGTATGGCACAGTATGGGAGACTATTTAAGTTAATCGACTAGAATTTCATGGAATAGTTAGAATCTAACATTAATGAACATATTCATTAATCCAATTCTATATAATAAAGTGATTTTTTTCATGTCCTAGCCAACAACCCAAACTGCCTTAATGTTCTTCAATATTTCTTTGAAGTTGTGGACATGATAGAGTCCATTGAATGAAAAACACTGTATGACAAAAGATTCATAATTCCTTGTTGAATTGTCAATGTATTTAACAGGATAATGTATTATATATAAAATATAGCACCAGTAGTTTAACTCCTGTGAAATGTCAACTATTTTTATTAAAATTTGACTTACATTTCAAAATATTTGGGATATCATTCATTGATTTAAAAAAATGATACTTCCTGGTAAGTAGCAGCTCAGAGTAGAAAGAGCACTGGACCTGGAGTCAGATGTAATGCAGACTATTTTCTCTAAATGCTCTCTAATATCCTTTCCAGAGTTAATGTGCTATTATCTTTTACTATCGAATGTTGAGAGTTTGATTGTTTGAGGTAATTTTTTGTGTGTTTGTTTGATTTTTGAGACAGGGTCTCACTGTATAGTTCAGGTTGGCCTTGAACTCACTATGTAGCCCAGGCTGGACTCTTAACTCACAGCAATCCTCCTGCCTCAGCCGCCCAAATGCTGAGATTACAGGCATGTACCACCATGCCCGGCTGTTTGAGGTAATTTTTAAATGATCTTAAGTTACTGTCTTTTTCAGTTTTAAAGTTTAGTTTTGATAATTGAATTTGTTAAGGAAATTGGTTGGGAGAAGACAGTTTCACTGTTTTTAAATTTTTTACACGCCTGCTATTGTGTTATCTTCTTTTACTTGTTAATAGCAGTCAGGCTTCCTCTACTCTGTCAATAAAACTTAAAAGATATCTGAGAAGGAAATTCCAAAGAGCAACAGCAGTCCTTTCTGCCACAAAGCCAAGAGAAAAACACTATGGTAGGGATTACATTGGAATAGTGTGTTTACATAAGTGGCTCAAATTCCCAAGATTAAATTGTTAAGAATTTTTAAAATGAATTTGCTTAACCAAATGTTGCTTTTGTTCTCAGCTTTCCTTTTCTTCAACTCAACATGAATTTACATTTTCATATCAATGTCTGATCAGTAGAAACCACAGGCCTAAAATGTCCAAAGCTGATCTCAGCAATATCCTCTTCAAATCTGTTTACCTCTTATACCCAGTATTTATCAACACTATTATCATCTGGCTGATTCTAGCCAAACTCAAAAACCTGGGGTCATTTTTTACTCTTTCTTCTTCCCATTCATCCGTCTTGTCACTCTCCAGCCCACCCTTCACATTATGATTGTGAAATTATTCTTTCTAAAATGCAAATGTGATCACAGATCTTCCCTGATTAAAGTGCTTTAAAGATTCTTTTTCACCTACTGAATAAAATCCAGTCTCTGAGCACCTCCTAGCCCCATTTTCTAACACTTTCTGCCAGTCCTCTGAGCTCTTTACACTCCAGTTACACGAACTACTCAAAGTTCCGAAAACACATGATGGCCTTTTCATGATTGTGGCTTTTCATGTGACACTTCCTCTGAAGCCAGGCGTGGTGGTACACGCCTGTAATTACAGCACTCTGGAAGGCTGAGGCAGTAGGATTGCAAATTTGAGCCCAGCCCAGGCAATTTAACAACTTAGTGAGACACTACCTCAAAATAAAAAATAAGGGGGCTGGAGATATAGCTCAGTGCAAAGGCCCCAGTACCACAAAAACAAAGAAAATAAAATTCCCTCTCTTGTTTTCTCAGCTGAAGGTAATTTTTCCTCATGGTCTACATACCAGTTCTACAACTCTCGTTACACCGTATCATAGTTACTTCTCTACTCATTTGTCTTCACTACCAAACTGCCTGTTCCCTGTTTTGAAGTGAGCACTGTAGAGGAGATTCAGATGCTGGGTGCTTCTGTCATTAAAGCTTGCTTTGGACCCTGAGACACTAATCTATTCACCCATGCTGGCTTTCTCTCTTTATCCCAGCCCTTCCCCTGGTGGAGGTGTTAAGTAGCAATGGAATGGTCACATAGCCAAAGATAAGACAAAGGTACCTGGACAAACATCTGCCCCATGTCATTTTTAAAGTAAATGCAAAACTGGCTAATGAGCTTTGGCTTCAAGATGGCCTGGCAGGAGCACTCTGTCTTGCCATATATTAATTGGAAGACCCTGATTTCAATTCCCAAGGCTGTAGCTGGGGTTTCAACATATCTATCCCTGATGGTCTCCAAGAATATTACACCACTGTCAAACAAATAAACAAACAAAAAACCAAGAATTAGCCAATGGAGATCTTCCATGTTTTCTCCTTCACCTGAAGCTCAGACAAACTTGTCTGTAGGAATGTTTGGCTTTGGGTGATTATACCATAGAGCAAGGAAGGGATCAACAATCCATATGCTAAGTGTTCTTCCCAATTGAAGTGAGCACTACCTTCCCAAAACACAGAAGGTCTTCGTCTCTATTCCAGAACAATATCTAGTTAGCACTGCTTTCTATCCCAGTTGAAGGTAACCTAATCTCTGAATCAGTAGTTAGTTGCTCCAAAAGGCAGCCAGTTTCTCTAGCACCCCGGGTTATACATTGCTATTGGTACAGTGGCCCAATGGTGCTACTTGGGTTGGTCTGAGTGATGAATCCCAAGGAAAGATCTTGCCAGGCAGATTTTAAAAGGAGGGGGGAGGGGTAGATTATCAGGTTGGTTGGGAGGAATTTTATCTATAAAACAAAACTTTAGAAAACATGATGGATTTATAAGCATCATAAGCATTCTCCTGACCATTGTGAATGGCTATTGTGAATTGTATCAGTTTATACTACAGTGAGATTTTTAACAGCAAGAATGACTTTTAGTTTTAAGTAATGGGAAAATGAATTAATATTATCTGTCACCAGGAGAGAATACCTTTAAAAAAATCAAACAGCTCCCACAATATCACTTCCTACACATGTCAAAGGCAAGGAAAGATGATCTGTCATCTTTAATGTCCATTTGACTGTGTCTTAATTGAAGAGAAAGGATTCAGGTGCTACCAGGGATAACATGAGATAAAACAGAAACAGAACTGGTAGGAGTGGCCTCCTGAAGTTCTTAGGTTTCTATGTTCAAGGTGAAGATTACCCTACCCACAAAATGATCACTGATGACATCATTTATGATGCCTTTGCCTTTTAGTTGGCACTGTACAGGCACCGCTTGGTTCTTCACTACATCTGTAAAGTGCATTGCCACCAAAGGGGAAGTGTAGTTAACCTGTAGATGAAAGAACAATGAATCTAAGTAGAGGGAGGTGGTAGGAGGGAAACTTATTCAGTGCAGGGTGAGATAACCTCCACAGAGGGAAGTGAGTACATCTGATGATGCCAAATCACCAATGGCCACAGCAACCTGACATATTTTCCCTGCCTAGGGAAAGTGTGAGGGATTTACATATTTCTCTCATAAGTCACTGTCAAATGTCTGATGTTCCTCTGAGGGAAACCAATTCTGTCTCAGAATGATTTGATTTTCTGGATATCAGACCACGAATCAAACCAGAACTAGTATCTATCAAGTTCATATGCTGGAGATGAAGCCTTCACCATCCCAAGGCTTCAATTGGGAGAAACAGGGAAGTGTGATTATTTGGGCATGGTTAAACACAAATGATAGTAATTTATCTGCTTCTGGTGCTGCCACTAATTAGCTATGTGGCTTTGGGAAACTCACTTTTCCTCTACAAACCCCAAATTTCCCATCTGAAAACTGAGGGGGAGTTAGACTCGACTACAGACAAGATTCTTTCACATATGAAAAGCCATGTAGGGCCTGGGATTTAGCTCAGTGGTTTCGCCGCCTGCTGTGCAAGCGCAAGGACCTGAGTTCTATCCCCAGTACCAAAAAGAAAAAAAGGAAAGCCATGTAGTTATAATAGGAATTCGTAGAGGGAGACCCAGGGTATGGCCATTATCTATTCATCTACCTGTTACTACCTGCTGCTTCCTTATTCTTAAACATCCCAGGTGGTCCTTCCTTTGTGTTTGAGCCCTTTTTGACATCAAAGAAGGAAGAGGATATAGCTTACGTGAGTCAGTTTGCCATAGTAAGGGTAGTAACGGAGGTCAAAAGAAGCCGACTCTGGGTAATAATTGATGGATCGGATGTCATCTTCATCACCTCTCTGTAAGCAAAAGCAGGTATATGTAGGATGCTGGGTCATAAAGTGGGTTGGAGTCTGGACTAAAGGGACTTGTGCCCCAGGTGAAATCTCTGTGTGACTCACAATCAACTGTTCCAGGAAGACCACAAAAGCAGAATGTGGCAGAGGTCAGCCCTGACCTATCACTAGAGGAGCATTTCCTTGGCTTTTCAGTTCACAGAATGCTGAAATAGAAGGCCTGGGCTGAGGAGGTGAATAGCACCCCATAGCTCTGTTCTGGCTTTTACAGGACCCAGACAGAAAGGTTCCAAAGGATGCTGCTTTAGAAAGAAGGTCTACCACTGTAGCCCTTCTCCAAAGAATCGTACTGGGCCTGACACCCAGTGGTAGACTCGGGAGCTGAGGCAGGTATAAGCTAGAACACATTTATTAAATCCCACTTCACAATTTGCACACTGCAAGCATGGTTCTGTTGGAAACCAGATCGTATACACAGGGACCTAACGCTTGGGCATATAACCTACAGTTGGCTCACCTCAACCTATGTCTCTGATCACATTCTTGGTACTGTTTAATTACAGTAGTTGGAGTCAGGAGGACAAGCAAGAGGGACTTGGGTAATGGAAATGATTAAACAGGGCTACTCTTATCACATTGTCAGGTAGAGGGCTGCTCATTTTGCTAATGCATTAGGCTTGCCCTAAATAGCACAAAGCTAATGTGGACAAATAGTGCATCACTCCTAGGGAATTATTCACTAGGGCCATGTGATTACTTCTGTCAATATACTATACAGTATACTGTACTGTATAGTACATGTATACATATATAGACTATAATTGTTTTTGGTATAAACTGAGCTCTCCATAATTTATTCTAGTCATTACCTCATCCTGCTTGATTTTGCACAAGTGGGTGTGGATTTTATGAGTATTGTTTGTTATAGAGTGTGTAAAGACTCAATATTTCTTTTTTTTTAAAGGATACTTCTCAGCAAGGTACAGCTTCCTTTTGAAAACTACAAGCAGAACTTGATCCATTAATAAACTAGTTTAAAGCCTGGGGAGAGGGAAGGGGGAGAGTTTAGCTCAGTGTACAGCGTTCGCCCAGCATGTGCAAGGCCCCTTGTTCAATCCCCAGCACAGGAAAAAAAAAAAAGTTAGTCTAAGGCTGAGTTGGTCTTTATGATTTATTTATATATTTTCCTAAAAACCAATGAGATTTATTTTTCATCAATGGCCTATGGAATCAGTTTCACTAGTTGGTAGTCACATTTCATGCGAGTAACTATTTACACACACATACACTACATGTGAATAAAATGAATTTCCTTCCACCTCATTCACCTAGCAAATATTGCCTAAGGTTTTTAAGCTCATCTTCAGCATCACCATCTCCCGAAAGGAACTAAGCTTTCTTTCTGTAATGTTTCCACTGTACCTTCTGATTTCAGAGACAGTCATATTTGTTTCAGTACCCCAACACCTAGCAAAGGATGCAGTATTTATTTAGTAAGTGATCAATAAGTCTTTGCTCAGTGTAAAACACTAGCTGAATAAATGCTACCTTTTGCTGTTTTCTGATTTGCCACCATGAAGTCTGGAGTTCTGAGCTTGCTTTCTAGTACTGTCCTGAGAATGGGATTGCCTGGCCTAGCATGTTTACAAGACAACAACAGTCCAGTGCTGGGGAGTACAGTTGATGTCACAGAACAGGAGGAAGCCACTGCCTGTTTAAGAAGCAAATCCAGATCTAGGGCTTTTTCCTACAAAGGAGCTAATTGGTGCGGATGAGATAGGAATTAATGCTCCAGTTAATTAGCATATTAATGGAGTTCTGTTTATGCTTCCCTTGTAGTCATTTGTTATTGCAACACCCAGTGCCACTGGTCATTGCAGCAAAATGTGAAATTCAGTTTTAAAATCAGGGACTAATGACTCTAATGAAAGCTGTTTGTTTAGTTCAAAGTAACAAGTAATTAGAGCTAAAAGCAAAAGTGTAAACAAAGTGCCTATTCATGACTTAGCGCATCATTGTTCCCTGCTGTGGCCCCTGGCTGAGGTTCAGTCTTTGGCTTTCACATGTATAAATCTTCACACACACACACACACACACGTTTTGGACATTGGAAACTCTGAAGGCACTACGGGCAAGTATAGTTACGAAAAAAAGATGATCACTTCTCTAACGTACAGTCATTGGAAGGAATGAACTGCCTTTTTACAGGAAACAGAAGTAGTAACAATGCTTACTCAAAAGGACACTTTACCTGAACTTTGCAGGAAACCTTCACGGGATCTCCAAGCTCAGGACGAAAGCCTACAATCTGGCAAAAGAAAACCAGTATTTCTTTTTAAACAGATTTGAGAGTAAGACTGAGAATTTTTTACTTCCCCAACCCTGAGTTATCTTTCCTCAGGCATAAATTTCATTTACTTAGCCCTCTCAGAAATGTTACAAACAAGCCAGGTCTGGTGGCACACACCTGCCATCCAGCTACTCAGGACACTAAGGCAGGAGGATCACAACTTCAAGGCCAGCCAGAGCAATTTAGTGAGACTCTGTCTCAGAACAAAACTTAAAAGAACTAGGACTGTAACTTAGTGTTAGAGTGCTTGCCTAGTGCTAGCGTAGCATGAGGAAGGCCCCAGGCCTTCCCCAGCACTCCCAAATAAATAAATAAAAAGAAAGAAATAAACGTTATAAACGGCAGAAAATAGAACTCCTGAGTTGTACAGCCCAACTTATTCCTTACTTATGCCTGATGTTTATGCACAGGGAAAACTGTAGCAAGATAATCATAAAGATATAGAGAACTTTTGGGGAAGGCTCTGTCACACCTAAACCATGACAGGAGAGAAGGAAAATGTTTTCTTCCTTTCTTTCCCTTTCCTCTCCCTTTCCTTTCCTTTCCTTTTCTTCCCTTCCCTTCCTTTCTTCTCTCTCTCTCGCTGAAACTAACTTCATACTAAGTTCTCAACCACTGAGCTACACCCCCAGCCCATTTTAGTTTTTACTTTGAGACAGGGTCTCACTAAGTTGCCTAGGCTGGCCCCAGACTTGTGATTCTCCTGCCTCAACCTCCTAAGTAGCTGAGAATATAGATGAGTGCCAGTACACCCAGCTGGAAAATGTATTTTTAATGATACAAGTACTGTCCCTCACCCACCCCCACCATCAATCCTCTGTTCCAAACAGCTCAGGACCCCATTCTCAATAAAGTCCATCAAGGAGCAGGTTTGAGAGCAGGAAGGAAGAATGGCAATAGGGAATGTTCAGGGAGAAAAAGGATTTGGTAGATTCGGCTGGTTGTCTGCATTCTTGAAGCTGTTGATAAAAATGGCCAAACCTGCAGTGTATGAAGATCAGAGCCCAAAAGAAATGGAGTGTTTTCCTACCTAGCTCATCCACTTATCACCATCAGATATTAAGGGCTAATATACCCTGTTCATCTTTAGGAGGATGCAAGGCTGTCCAGTAGCGTATCCAAAAGTAGGGTCCTCCAAACCAGAGCAGTTCTTCAGGAAGGAGCGCTTAAATTGGCAGGCCTTCTTGTCCTCATCCTCATTGCCATCTTGGATGAAGTACTGCCCCGGGGGACAGTCTACATTCATTTCCTCTTGAAGACTGTCATTATAACCTGAAGCATGTGTGGGTGGCAAATGGTCATGTTAGAAAGGTGCTACAGAGGAAGACCATGCTTTCAATAGTCCTCGCTCCCTGATTTCCTTCCTCCAGCTTGCTTGTATCCTTCTGAAAGCCCACTCAGTCTACCCTGAGACTCCTGACCTGCCACTATGTGCCAAGGGTTTTCATCCCTCCAGGAACCCTTCCTGGCTAGTCATTTTAACCCACTTGGTTGCTTACTTCTTGCTTGTCCTTCCCTCAGAACTTCTAGATATCCATCTCTGGGCCATGAGTTGGCCACCTTATTTTTTTTCTATTTTCCATTGTTCCTTTTCATACATGGTAAACTGTAAATCTGGAATGCTTCCCCTTCTACTTTGGGGACAAGAATAGGCACATAGTAGATTTTGGAAGATGGATTGAAGCACGTTAAGGCATGGCATATATTAGGAAGCTAAATTCCTAGGTTAAATCTCCTTAAGTTCAATTTAGAAACTGTCTTCTTCTGAGGTCAACAGAGACACTTGGTGTAACAGAGTGAGAAGTATGTGTTGTGGGATAGAAAAAAATGTGAAAGAATAGCAGAAGTAGGAAGAAGAAGTGGAGGAGAAAGAAAAGGAAATAAACCAGCTCCTCCTCCTTTACGGAGGGAAGTCAGCACTCTGAAGTTAGCACTCTGAAGTCAGCACTGGAAAGCAGGGACTTAGGATGAAAGACAGAAACAAATAACAACTACAGGGTCTCCACTAAAAGGGTAAGGGATGAGATCTTCTCTACTGAGACCTGAGATACTCAGAATTAGTTTTCCTTTCCATAAGATGGAATGTAATGGGTATCCAAGGTACACAGATCAGGGAGAAAGCAGCAAAGGGCACTCTGTGTTTACTTTTTGAGCTACTAGATGCTTTAAAATGGGCTCTGTAAATGATTTCATTACTTCCAATTTGGTTCCAAGTGACGGAGTCCAGTTAATCTTGTTAGACCCAGTCCCCATGCATTCATGTTTGAAGTAGCTCAGTTTTTCAGAGGAGACTGTACCAGAGGTAAAACTCAAAATGTACTATTAGATCCATGTCTACACAGGTTGTGACCTGGGTGTGATATTATGAAGAGGCAACTGGTAATTTTAAATCCCATTCCAATTGGCTATGCCTTTACTTTTCCTTTGACAAAGCTACATTCAATTCAACTCTTTGTTATAAACATTTTTTTTAAGAATAAGAACTATGCTCACATAAGTTTCTAAATAGAAGCAGCAATCATGTGCTTATTGTTTCTCTTGAGGTAGTCCTTTAAAAATAATGTGACACGGGTATGACCCTTATTGCAAAATCACAGTCCTCATGGGAGTGAAACTGATACTCTGGGATGTCTATTTCAGAGATGTGTTCCTTTTAAGCAGGGCACATTATCTACTCTTAGGAACTAAAAACCCAAGACTTTTGTAATGTCCCCTGACGCCTTCATTAGGTCAGAATTGGTATTTCTTTATTTACTTGCTTTTCAGAGGGATTTCCTCAACAGAGATTTTGGCAATGCACATATTTGCAACAGCTCGTAAGCATTTCAAAAGAAAAAAAGATATTGTGCTGATTCTTATGCCCTAAATATTTTTGTAGCCAAAACTGGAACTACATGGATTCAGAAAGAACCCAGCCCCTCTCATTCTACAGGTGAGGAATCTGAGGCTCAGTCTTACCCAAAACAACATTGAGCATTACTGGTATAAAGCTGAGTTTCTAACTCCTGGTCAGATGGCAATAGCATAGAGTTATGAAAAACAGCACTTTTTAAACTTTCAAGTTCATAAAAATCTCCTGTAGTTTTTGTCAAAATGCAGATTCTGATTCAATACCTCTGGAGTGGGGCCTGGGATCCTGTCTTTCTAACAAACGCCCAGGTTACACCCATGTTGCAGGTTCCTGGATAACACTTTTGAGTAGCAAGGGCATGAAAACATCCTGTTCAAACACGACTTCTGCTGCTAGATTTTTAATCAAGTCACTTTTCCCTTCTGAACCTCAGTACCCTCAGTTTGTAAAATGATGACAATGGATTCTGTTATGAAGGGTTAAAGTTGAGTGACAAAACTTACACATTTAAATAAAAATTCCTGGCATGTGATAAGAAATCATTACCCCTCTAAATCAGTATGCACTCTACTAGCTATCCTTATGCCCCTACTTCAGCCAGGGAAGGGCAGCAAATAAGTATGAACTGCTTTTTTCCCCCACAAAGATAAGGTGCAGCAAATGCAAACCCCACTGGGGTTTCTGTTTGCTAGCTGGATAAATACAGAACCTGTGTGTTCTGGGTTTAACCTTAACCAAGCTGCTACTACCTCCACTTTTACTGTGTGGAAGGGTCTCCCACAAATCCACTTTGTTTCTGAAAAGGTATCTTCAAAATATTTGAGATCAAAATGTTGAGTGCCAGCCAGAGGTTATTCTTCTCACTCCTTTTTGGATTCATGTTAAATAAAGATACTGTTTTCTTCCTTTATGATAGCCAATTTCCAAGAAATGAATTCTCTTACCTTGAGACAGTAGAGGAGGCAGAAATCTTCCAGCTCTGGAGAACATTTTCACCACTATCATCCTCCAGAATATTCTTTTATTAGGGATCACCATTGAGCCACCTAAATGTGCTTAGGACTTATCTATGTACTGTAGGGTGTTCATGAAGAGAAAATAAGTTGTCTGCCTCAAAGAAGTTACTGTCTTGTTGCAGAGTTGGCTTGTGTACTTTCACGGTAACATGCAATCACACACTAGAGCAGTTTGGATTGGATGAAAAGTGCTGAGGGGGATGCAAAGTAAGGAAAGACCATGATAGGCTGAGGTCTCTAGCACTAGGACTTTTGGACCAGGTGAATTTTGAATTCCCACCCATCGCCTTTCAAGAGAGCTTTCTGCTATTCAGAGGAACTTACCTTGGAGAAAGCCATTTAGGCTAATCACATAATGCTGCCAAGTGTCAGGTTCAGAAACGTTGAAGTTGAAGTTAAGGCTATGGGCGAAGGGTCTGATCATAACTCCTGGCAATGAAAACAGGTCTTGGATATATTAACCCCTTTTTGAATCTTGAATAATTTTTCTTTTGATTCCCATGAAACCATTTCCCCCCAAATGCTCAAAAAATGAAAAGGACCATAATTTTCTAAGTACCATTTTACTTTTACTCTTAATAGTTGAATCTCTGTGTCATTACCGGGAAGAACCAAAGTTAATTGAGGCTGAACAAGCTGTGTAAGCAGATTTCTGTCCGGCAAGTTCTGACAACATAGGCCATTTGGATACACTCACCAGGAGTCTTTACCCGCTCAGTGAAGGTCGGCATGTAAGGGCTGATAGTCAGAAATAGCATATACATGCAGAGGGTGATCACAGCAGCCAGAGAAGCATAGAAGAAGAAGTAAATGAATAAAATCAGGCCTGCAGAGCAATCAAAGATGACAGTGGTCAGTTCCTGCCAACAAGCCTTGCCTACCCACTTGAACTCATGAACCAGAACCAACTCAAATACAAGATAGATTTTTTTTAATTCCCCAGATTCAGTATGTCCTTGCTGATTGAGGTTTCACCAATCAGGAATTGGTGAGGATCATGTCAGGGGTCTGATTGCAGTTTATCTTTATAGCATCTGTGCTAGAACGGCTTGCTGAGCACATGATGATCATGAACAAGACTATAGGGGAGTGCAGTTTAAAGTATTGCAGAGGGCAAATTGCTTGAGAGTCCTCTGGGCAACAGTTGATGTCCTAAGTACAAATCATTCTTCACTATTCATTAAAGCAGGTGCCCTGAAGAGTCCTAGCAGCTTGGTTCCAGTGATTATGTGTATTTGGAAGTAGTGCAAACAGCATAGTCTATGATTTGAATTTTGATTAATTTCTACTGGACTTGCCGCTAATCAAGGCAAAGTGAGGTTTTTACCCTCCGTATTTCAAATCGTACTAATTTTCAGCAAAATTTAAGAGGTTCTGCTTTTTACAAAGAACACTAACACAGGGTGGGGAAGGGAGGAGAAGGAAACAGTACTTAATCAACAACACTTGCTCTCTGTGAATTTGGGCAAGTTACAGAACTTTTTTTTTTTTTTTTTTTTTGGTACCGGGGATCGAACTCGGGTCCTTGCGCTTGTGCAGCAGGCGGCGAAACCACTGAGCTAAATCCCCAGCCCATTTACAGAACTTTTCTATGCCCCTGATTAATCACAGGTAGGATGATGACACTTTCAGTAACTACCTCATGACCTATATCCTTAATGATATCTGAAATTCAACCTTTTCTTTTTTTCTTTTCTTTCTTGTTTTTTTTTGGTACTGGGGATCGGTTCAGTCTTTTCTTACACCCTATTTTGAGTATACCACTTTCTACCTATTTAATCTTCCACACACTGTTACACTGTTCATTTCACTGGGCCTCAATTTCTTTATCTGGGAAATAACAATAATAACAGTACTGTACTCACTTCTTAGCATTAAATAATGCATATAAACAGCATTATATAGAGCCTGTCAGATATCAAGTATTGTATAAATGGCAGGCATCATCATTATTATTATTGCTACAGGACCAACTGAATAGTGAACTAGAAACTAGGCAAACGATATAACTTTGCTGTACTCAAAACTGAATTCAAATATTAAGTTTTCAATTAAACAATGAACCAAATAAATATGACCAAAAAGGTCGAGGGAGAGAAAAAAACTCATAGTAACCCAACTGGAAATGGAACTATGTTTTATAAGATGAACTAAAGCAGACCTGGAACATCAACATATTAATTCAGGTGGAGTCCCTGGAGAAGAAACAACAGTGCCTGTGAGCCTGTGGCACTTGGTTATTGTGTGCTGGCTGTCCTAATGAGATATGCCCTGTGCTTCCTCCTCCATGCATCCACCCTCATCTCCATCCTGGGAATTGGCCAATAGGGAACCCAAAAATTTCAGTGTCATGCATGGACACAAAGCAATGGAACACAAGTTTATTCCCTTGGCAATATCTTCTTTGTTTTTTCCCAAGATGTACAGCCAGGAAGTTGTAGATAGGAGAATGACACTAGCAATAAGTTCCTTGAGCCTCACCTAGGAGAGGTTCCCTGGAGTCTGTGATAGTCTATCTCACTCCCACCCCAGGCAAAAAAGTGTGGCCTCCATCTGAACTCACTGATCCTTCTGAATCCTTTCTGCTCCAGATGTTCATATTTTTCTTGGGCCCTCCTCTGGTTAACCTAGGGTTCTCTCCTGAATGCCCTACCCAGGCTTGGAGAGAACACTGAGTACCCATGCTCCCAATGATTCACCAAGACAGCCCATCTGGTCTTGAGGCTCAACTCATCAGGGCTGTAATCATTTTTGGAATTCATGAAGATGACACATTGTCCTGGCAAAAGAATGGACTTTGGCGTTTGAATCCCAGCACTGTCACTTAGTTACTGTGTGTCTTTAGATAAGTTACTTACCCTCTCTAAGCCTCAGTTTCTGCATCTGTAAAATGGGGATAATAATATTACTACCTCATATGGTTCTTGTCAGTAACCAATAAAATAACATATAGTTCCTAAGAATAGGGGTTGCCCATCTACCAAAGGAAAAGCCCAGAGTGTATTAACAGGCTGGGTGAATATGGCGGACATGTTGATGTCTAGGTTGGGACAGAATTAGTAATGCTCAAGTAGGCACCTAGCCATCAGGAAAGAGGGCAGCCTAGGAATTAATATTACTGTGTGCCCTTTGCCAAGGGGTAGCTCAACAGAAGCCTGAATTGCTGGGCCCTCCTTAGAACTACTACCCAGTGATCTGACTATGGCCTATCATGAAATTGTCCCTGCTGCCATATCTTCCACAGGTACTTGAAACTTCCTCCCTAATCTCCACTTATTGGTCTATGGATTGTCCTCCACAGGAGCAACTTAGATCAGCTCAGTTGGTGAAGTTCCAATGGTTGGCCATTTAGTTCCAACGGTTAACCATTGCATGGCTTCTCACCCCAGAATCATGCTTTCATTTCTCAAGGCCTGTTTTTGCAGTCTTCTTTAGGCAATGGAGAAACAGCTGTGTTCCTTTTGGAGCCCTAGTGAGTATTCAACATTTGTCTGCAGCTTCAAGAATGTCAGAATATCCTTTAAATGGTACATTTGTTCCAGTTGAGAGTTTGGGGGATGGGGAGGGGTGGGGCTGGGAACAGAGGAAGGGTGATAGGAGATGGAAGTTGTTCAGAGTCCTCCACCTGCTATTCCTAAATTCAGGAAGCAGGGCTAGATGTTTCACCCTCACTGAGCTGAATTAGTAATGTTAATTAGGAAAGAGAGAATTATCAGCCAAAGGGGCCCTTGGAAGGCATGGCCATCAACTTCAGCAACATATACCCTTGGCACTAAGGGTCTCCATTTCATCCATGGCATCCTCTATTTTTTTTCCCTCCTTTGGATTGAGTTCCAAACCAGGAGCTGTTCTTTTTTCTGGGCTGTGTAGAGTGTGGCAAGTGTGAACTTTGCTATGGGCAAAAACCTGAGAAGGCTCAGCAGTCATAGTTTAAGGAGTGGGCAGGATCCTGGGAAGGGGAAGTTATAGAGGTTGTGAAGTAACACACACAGAGGTGTCAGCATGTGGTATAAAAAGGGGAAGCTAAGGAAAAAATTCTGCCATTGATCAAGCAACATAGAGGCCCAGTCTTAATCTCTAGTAATTACTCCCTTAAACCTAACTCCCTTGTGTCTACATAGGAGAATTAAGCATCCACAAGCTGAGGCCAGGGGCAGGCCTTTTGGTGCTCTTTCTCTGACATTACTAGATGAAGAGATTAGGCTTTGCGGGTTAACAGGGACTTGGGTCTCATCCTAGAAATAGTCTTCTGCATAGTATTTTTTCCCAGTACTAGGGATTGAACCCAAGGCCTTCTCAATGAGCCATATTCCCAGCCCTTTTTTGCTAGGATTAGTACTCTTAACTTCATAATTTTAATACTGGAGTGTGATGCTGATCTTGTGAGAGAGGCAAGGCAGGTACTGTTTCCCTCATTTGGCAGGTGGGGAGACTGAGGCTAACAGAAGGTAAATGACAAGCCCAAAAGTCACATGGATAGAAGGTGACAGGGCTGGGACTTTGAAAAATAATCCTGTCTTTTCAATTCATTCTCATTGTCTCTCTGCATTGCATACTGAGCCCAGTGGATTTCAAGTTTGTTCATCTGTTTATTGAGTTTGTTCTGATAGATCAGTCCATAGGCCAGGGATTTCTCTGTGAAATGTTAGGAGAAGTTTTCAGCCAACGTACAGATACCATGCCAAAAAATAAAGGACACCAGACTAGGGCATTGGGATGAATGGGACTTACTCCAACTCTGACCTGTTTGGGCCAGAGAGATCCTTCTCTCCGGATCCCATAGGTATTCGATCATGATCTGTAATTTCTGCCACCAGGCATTGCCTATTGGCTGGCCCTGACTCCTTTCCTCCTCCTCTTTCTCCTCTTCTTCCTCCAAATCAGGCACCACCAACACCTGAGCCTCTTCTGCTTCTTCCTCTTCATCTGCTAAGTAGTTCTGATTCACTTCATCCTGATCATCCTGGAATGGTGACAAAACACAATCCTTTTTTTAAAAAATTGCCCAGGGGCACACCCCACCAACCAACCAAAAATAAATGGAAACAACTCGATATTTGGAGATGCTTCAAATTTCCACTTCCTCATAAACATAATCATTGTTAGGAGAGGTGGATTTTCTTTGTTTTGTTTTGTTTTGTTTTGTTTTGTTTTGTTTTGTTTTGAGGAAATATCCTTTCTCTGACCAATACTGAATCAGTATTCTTTTCATAGTTGCACAAGTTTTATTCTCAGCTTCTGGCATTTGGGCTCTTCTGCTAGGACATCTCTTGTCACTACTCTGTCCTGAGACCTTGGTCTTCCACTTAACTTGATCTGTCAATGCAGAATTGAGAAGATGGAGTAGTCTTGGATATTTATATGTATGATTGCAAATTCTCAGTCCAAGCCTGCTTTGTTCTAACTCAGTTGCCCAACCTCACTATCCCAAGTTGTGCCTAAAAAGAGTCTAGGATGAGTACTGGAGGGAGAGGCCAACTATTGTACCCCTTCTCAAAACTTAGACTACCATTTTTACAGAAGCAAGAGATAGGGGTTTATTTTCTGCTTCTCTACTACTGCCATAGCTGGAACCCCTTCTTGCCTTAAGCTGGTTGGACAGAGGACCCCAACCATTCCTTCCTTAATTTCCCCTGTACCCTAGGCAAGAAGCTGGGCATGTAGTAAGTGCTCAGCACATATTTGCTGATTGACTAATTGCAGCTATTACTTGAGATTTGAAACTGTAATCTTCTCTGAGTGGTTCTAAGAAAATTAAACAAAAAAAGGAAAAAGAAAAACTCAGACTTCAAGTGGCATTTTAAATGCTTCCCAAACACAGGCTGGAGGGCTGTTGTATCTTTGCTCTTTGGGGGTTTTCCAAGGCGCACTGCCACAGCAGAAAAAAGGCTATGCTCCTCTCCCTGTGCTGTCCAAGTCTGAAGAGCGGCAGGGCTTGTGCACCTGTTAGGGTTAGATATGTCAAATGTTCAATGCCAAAGGCTCCTTGCTGTCCCCTCCCTGCCTGGTTCCTCAAAGGCCACTTAGAGGGCACACTGCTAAAAAATGCTGCCTTTCATAGGGCGTTCATGAAATTGGAATGTTCAGAATCAGTAAAAGTGATACATAATGACAAAGCTCTATTCTCACCATTCAGTCTGCTTGGGACTATGTAGCTCTTGATTATAAGCACACTTGAATTGCTCTCGAATTTGTTCAAATGTACAGCTGTACATCACAAACACCATATTAGAACTGATAGGTATATCCAAGATTTGTTTTTCCCTATGAGGCCCAGAGAGGGGATAGGATCTAGCCAAAACCATGCAGCAAATTCATGACATAATTGACAGTCTCAGAACCTATGTCTCTTGGTACTCTGGACAATGACATTTGTCCTCCATTACACTGAGCACAAGTGCTTAGAGGTGGCTTAGCAGATTTATGAAGCACAGTAACATCTTAACTTCTGTGTTTCCAAGAGATTGTAGATGGTTATAATCAAATATTTTTTAAACTCTGATATGGACCCACAGTGTAAGGCTTAGAAAAATAAACCTCATCTCTCATTCAATGTTAAATGGATGAATACATGTTCTTAAATCTGTTTAACTTTTTTGTGAACCTATGTACATATTTGACCTCCCAAACTATGTTTTGAGCACCCAATGGAAGAGTCTATCTTGTCTAGCCTCTTATTGATCATCCATAGTGTGAAGCCCATAGCTAAGTATCCAGTGGCTACTGACCAAATATCAATGATATCTGCCTGAGTTAAAAGACCTTATGCAGGACTCTGAAGAAATGTGTCATAAAACTTGTCACCTTAGCCTCAGCAGTCATGTGCACTAGAGTGGGTAGTCATCATGGCCCATAGACAACCTATTGCATTTGAGAATCTCAGAGAATTTGAAATGTATCTTTTCATCATGGAGGAATTTATACTTCCTTTGTATTTTCTGAACAACTTTCTTTTCTCTCCTTGTTGCCTAGGCCCACCTTCCACCTCTGCTCTGCAGGTTGGCCATGGCCTCAGCCTGATCTTATTTGTAGATACATGCTCTCGTGATAATCCTATTAAAAATGGCTTGTCATTAAAGTCTTACTCTCCTGGGAAGAATTAATCTTTTCTCAGAGCTAATTTCTCCCCACAGATCTCATAGCATCCGAGTCTTACTTCAGGAACCTCAAATAGCTTTTTTCCTTTTCCTTGATTCCAGGGATAGGGGAATAAACACATTGTGCAAGAGAGGCCTTCCCTGAAAGTTTCTTATTAACTAAATCCATGTAAAATGCACTTTCATGCAACTACTTAACAAAATCTACTAGGGATCCTTTGGTGATGAGAATGCATATCCCCAAGGCTCTGTTTTTATTTGTTTCCTCATGTGATAGTGTGTGATTGTGCTGGAATATGGCAGTGGGTGTGAGTTGGGGTCATTATGTTTTCCTAAAAGGGAAGTCTGAAGGACAGGGGTGGGTTTATTTTGAGCAATCTGTTTTTTGTTTTTTGGGGTTTTTTTTTGTACCAGGGATCGAACTCAGGACCTTGTACTTTCGAGGCAGGCAGCTGCACCACTAAGCTAAATTCCTGGCCCTGAGCAATCTAAATATATAAACATTTAAACAAATATATAAACAAACATTGAGACAAAGGATAAATTGTGCCCCACATTAAACAATATCCTATAAACATTTGAGTGATTGGTTAATTTTTAAAGAGAAATTAAGTATATGATAATTTTAAAATTTGATCAAGTATTATAAAGAGCAAGATCCTCTGATGCATTTAAAATCCAAATTACTTGACAGATAACTGAAATTATGCACAACACTTTATAAACATTCCATAGAAAAGAAGCCAAGTGAGGAATAGTTATATTTGTCCTACCAACCGTGACAGCTCTGAGAGCTGGAAAGGACTCTGGGAATATCAAAAGAAAGTCTGTACAAATTGTGTCTAGAAATCTAAGAGAAGCCTTCAGTAGTTGACATGGGGTTAGAAAAATTCATATTTTCTTTTTGTGTTTGACAGTCTTCACTTAATTCCCTGATTATATAAGTGGCCATATCCAAAGAAAAATGGATTATGTTTTCCCCCCCTCAGATTATAGCCCTCTCTGTGAATAGCTCTCAATAGTGCTGTGTGTGACATATTCTAATGATTTATACCAAAGAAAATGTAAAGAAACTTTTGGATCAAATAACATATCCAGGAGATAAATAGTGACACCAAAGGTGTGTGTGTGGGGTCTGTGAGGTGGTGGACAAGGTGGTAGAGTGGGTGGTGGTTTACCAGGGGATGAGGGAGTTCGTACTGCTAATACAATGGAAAGAACACAAGGTTAGAAGTGAGGACACTTGCATTCTCACTTCGGCTCCTCCACTAACTGGCAAGTCACTTCCGTGCTCTGAGCCCAAGCGGCCTTCTTTACATAATGAGGGGTTATGGAATGATGACGTCTAGGATTCCTCCCAGCTCCTACCAAGGAGTTTACAATTTTAGCTGTAGCTTGGGATTTCTGCTTTAGAAAAAGAGCAGCTGGGTTCTAAGAAGCTACCATCCAAAGGGACTGAGACAACTGGCTAGGCAGTGCCTTTCATTTCCTCTTCCTCTTCACTTCTCTCTTAGCTAAATTTCTGGCCAGCAGAATGAAACCTCTACCCTCAGCTTCTAAAAGGTCTGTGCAATTTCTCGACTCCTAATAAAGAAAAACTTGAAAAGACTCCTTATTCTCTGGTATCTTCCCCTTCCCTTCTCTTTGTTCCAAAGGAAAGAGCACTTCCTCCCTCCATCCAGCAATTTAAGGTGTTAAGGATGTAGGAGGACTGGGAGTCAGTGTTCCTTCTTGAAATCCTGGGTTTCCCTAAGCTTCACTGTATCTGCTCATCCCAAGGAGAGACAGCCATAAGCTGCTGTCTACACAGCCCCCAACCCATCCCATTAAAAAGGGGAAGCAAAATATTCTGCTCCCTGGGACTCACAAGTCTGTAGCGATAACCGTAAGGAAAGGCTGGAGCCCTCCTGGACCGGAGTTGCCTTCTCATGGCTGTTCAGTGGGCAAAGACTATGCAGAGGCAGCAAGTAGGTGACTTCTGCAGCTTCTGATGGTACAGGAGACACTGGTTACTGGGAATGCTTGGCGCCTGGTAAAAGTGAACTCTCCTGGCATGAGCCCTTCCTCAAAATAATCTAACATGCCCCTTTCTCATTGGTTGGCCCCTTCCCCGAATCAAAGGAAAGCCCTTATGGAAAAGCAAGCTCATCATTACAGGGAGGGGGAATATTCTGGGTCACGAGGATGAGCAACTCACCCCACCCTCATTCGTGTGTCTTTCCACCCCTTGCCCTTCTCCAGCACCTAAGATACAATGGGCCCAATGGAAATCTTAAGTCATATTCTTCTCAATTGAGAGTTGGATATCAGTGTATGCAAGGGGCGGGGCGTGGGTGGGAGTTGGGGGTGAGGGGAGATGGTCAAGAATAACTTGCTTTTTTCATATGGCTGATCTCATGCAAAAGGATCTAGGGTGTCAGGAAAAACTCCCTTTGCTTTCCCCATCATCCTCCCCCCCGCACATTAAGCCACCTACAATATTCCTTATTTGTGTCAGTCCATGAGCACCTTAAAATGTTGAATGTGCCTTCTAATTTTAAAGGCAAGGTTCTTGTCTTACCCTTCCCTGCTCCAAAGAGAGTTGTGGACATAAAGAAGCCTTTTCCTAGCCCACATGTCAGAGTGGCCCCATCAGTCACTGCCTCTCATACACACACCCCTTGGAATCCTGGCCGAATTTCTGCAGTGGTTGAGATCTATATTTATCCCTTAGCATCAGAGCAGAGAACAGGCCAGAGCTTTGCAGTGTCAGTTTCCCAGACATATATAACTCCCAAAGCCAATATAGGATCCAACAAAATAAAAATTAGTAGAAACAGTTTAAAATATCATGTAGCAGTTTTGGTCTGTTTGGTTCTCTCCATTGGGGCCTGAATAACTAAAAGGCCTGGATATAGTTTGTGATCCTTCATTTACAAATCACTTTCTTCTCCATTATACTCAGATAGCTGAGCATGTTGCAGAAACTGAGGTTCTGGACAGATGCATAACTAAGAAAAACAGCACAATCACTCAGATTTAATCATAATGACAACTCTAGGATATTCTTATGAAAATGGCTTCAATTGTGGTTACTTTAAAATAAGAACTTCATTTACTATAATGTTACTAATCTGGACTCCTCCTTAGCAGAGTCTCTCCCCAAACACTTCTTTGAAGAGAAAGAAGCCACTTACAAAAAAGTGAAGCTCATACTTTTCTTTGGATTTTAATGAAAGGAAAATATATCCCAGAGGGTACTTGGTCTGGGTAGATGTTGAGCTCCATGTCTACACCTTCTCTGCTCCAGTGTTTTATATGATTCCAGATGTTAAATATGAGAATTGTGAGGCCCGCGGAAGACTCAAAAGCAACCAAAGGGTAGATCAACAGATTTTGTCTTACTAATGCAGAAAAGAGAGTATGATCATTTTAGCAACATTTCAAGCACCAAGAGTAGGGGAACTAAAGAGAGTTTGGAGTGACATGACCTCTGGTAACAAAATGTCCATTCTCCAGAATGTCTCATTCCCTTGCATTTTGAGAATTGATGGCTTGACATATATTAGTATATTTGCAGTGTGTTTCGACTATAGTCTAGGCTGTCTTCTGGAATGTCAGCTATTGGGTGGGGTAAAAGAACCAAATCTCACAGGATGTAAAAAACAAAAATCTAGGTCGTTTCCACTGCTCCCAGCCCAGAGGAAGGGGCTTCCTGGCCACTGTCTGTCCCACCGCTCCCAGCCCAGAGGAAGGGGCTTCTAGGTCACCATCCATCCCGCCACACCTGGCCCAGAGGAAGGGGCTTCTGAGCCACTTTTCCACTGCTCCCAGCTCAGAGAAAGGGGCTTCCGGGCTGCTGTCTGTCCCACTGCTCCTGGCCCAGAGGAAGGGGCTTCTGAGCTGCTGTTTCACTGCTCCCAGGTTGGAGGAAGAGGCTTCTGGGCTGCCATCCATCCTGCTGCTCCCAGCCCAGAGGAAGGGGCTTCTGAGCCACTGTCCCACCACTCCCAGCTCAGAGGTAGTGAGCCGTGTGGGCGCCAACAGCACCACCCCACACCTGGGTCAAAATGAGAAGACACGTAAACAAGTCTCAAAACCAGACTTCCAGATCACCTAGAGCAACCCCAAAGGGAAATGAGATGGAACACTGATACTCAACCACCTGAACTCCCTGAACTGGCAACAAAAGAGGATCTGGAAAAAATGAAATCAGAAATAATTTCTAAGATAACAGCAGAGATTGTGCTTGTAGTGCAAGACATGATTAATAAATCTAGAGAGGAGCTGAGGAACATGATGGAATCCCAACATAGGAA